ACAGGACCATGCTGCTAACAGGACCATGCTGCTAACAAGACCATGCTGTTAACAGGACCATGCTGTTGACAGGACCATGCTGTTGACAGGACCATGCTGCTGACAGGACCATGCTGCTAACAGTAACAGTGTTTTTAGAATAATATTTTTATTTTAATTACTTTTTGTTGTTGTTTATTGTTGTCTGTACTCTACATGTTGTCTGTCTAAAACATGTCTCTCTTGAAAATGAGTCCTCGTGGCTCATCGAGACTAACCTGTATAAATAAAAGTTGAATAAAATAAAAATAAATTTAAAGAGTCTTCTGCTGTTTGTGAGGCAGTGAAAGGTACTTGTTGCAAACTGTGTTAGTCTGTGCCGTATAAAGCGGCGCAGATTGAAGGAGTTTCTTCGGCTACTTTTCCAAATGTGCTGCTCTGGAATGTGGGTCCACACTAGATGTAAACAAAACACTTGTATCTGCTTACTGAACCCGAAACATCTGAAACATCTGAAACATCTGAGTGTAAATACAACCCGGAACACCCCAACTGTCCCAAACCACTCTTCCATTGACGTTGATGATGTTCGCCTGTTTTCAGCCACTTCGGCTGTTTTTGGTCTTGATTTGAGAACACATCACCTGCATTAATAGCTACTAAAATTATGTATGAAGAAGACAAAACATCCACTAAATAAGCATCACTCACCAAAACTGCTGCATATTTTGTAACAAGTGAGCAAAATAAGCAGAGTCATGTTTTTGTTGCCAACAATCTTCATTTGTTTATGTTTACATTCGACCATTTTGGTGCACGGCAATCAAGAAAACCCAGAGTTTGACCTCCAGTTACCTCCAAATACTCCTTAAAATCAGGGAATTGTTCTAAAAGAATTAAAAATCTGTTTCAAAAAACACTTAGACCACTTCCTGTTCTGCTTCGAGGACATTTTGTTTTCCTCCTCCTCCTCAGTTTGTTTAAGCTCGCTGTGATGAAGATAGTTGAACTCTGCTTTTAAAAAATGCAGCACCCTCCCCAGAGTCTGCAATTCAGAGTCTCCCCCCGACAGGAACATGCTGGTTCCGTTTAACTTGACCCAGATCGCAGGACTCTTTGGAGCTGAGCCTGCCCGGGCCGAGGGCTCAGAATCAGACGAGCTGTTCGGAGCTTCACAGCAGAAAAACGTTCAAACGTTTAATTTCTCCAACATGAAGCTCCGATTTCATCAGGAAGTCCTTCCAGTGTTTTATTTATTGTCAGGATTATTATAAACCATTAAGACGGTTCAGGTCCATTTGTCTTCTGCACGTTTCCCAGCACAAACGTTCGGCTCATTCAGGATGTTCCTGCTGGGACTTCTGGTTCAATTTGTACTTTTTAAAATATTTACTTTGTCGGCCATGTTTTTTCCCTCACTGAAAATGAACGGAGCTTTCTTCACGTCCTTCAGACTCTTTAGCTGTTCAAACCTGTTACTGTTCAGCTTTTGTTCTGGTTCAGCTTATATCAGCTCTGTTCAGCTAAATTCAGATTTTCTGCCTTTTCAGCTACTTTCTGGATATTTTATGCTCCTCTTGCTAATTTCCTCCTTTTGTGCAGCTTTATAATAATTTAATGTTTTCATGACCCTTTCAGTTTATTTCTGGTGATTTTAATTTATCTGTAGATTTTTCAGCTACTTTGCTTTTTTCAGCTTTTTTCTGCTCATTTTAGTTTCAATTTTAATTTCAGATTTATTTGTGATCTGTTCAGCTTCTCTGCCTGTTTTAGCTTATTCTGCTAAATTTCTGCACTTTTCAGCTTTGTTCTTTTTGCTTTACACATTTCTGCCATTTTCCTTTTGCTTTCAGTTTTAATTTTCCCACTTTCAGCAAATGTCAGCTGTTCAAATTCAGCTTGCATTAAGAGTTTAGAGATGAACCCTGTTCAGCTGGTTTCAGCAACATTTGTTCACGCTGCATTTTCACAGGAAATGACATTTCTCATGTTTACCGTATTTTCCGCCGTACACGTCGCACCGCCCTATAAGTCGCATCAGTCCAAATATGTCTAATAAAGTGGAAAAATACATAAATACGTCACTTTGCCGTATACGTCGCATCTATTATGCATCACCACTGACAATTTGGAAATGTGGGTCGGTGTTGTGCCAAAAATCGATTGGCTGCCAAATGGCGGCTGCGAGAGCGTGCATGGGAGGACTTTAACAAGAGTTTAACAAGAGTAACACCTAAAAACAATTATTTGTTTACTCGACATTATAGTAAAGGTGTGTCTCAGTTGAACTTTTCCTTAATAAATGCACTTTGACGATCAAATCAGCTGCGTTTCGCCTGGACGTCGCCACTGCTCCACCTGGGGGTGGATGGGTTAAATGCAGAGAGCCAATTTCACCATCGTATGGGAACATACAATGATGACAATACATAACGTATTTTCTAGCGTATAAGTCACATTTATTATGCCTTTATTTAATGGTCAAAACAGCTTCATTTTGCCTGGGCGGTGCGGCACCATCCATCCATCCATCCATCGCGGCCGGAGCCACTAGCTCTTCAGCGTTCCTCCACCTTCACCAGCTGAGTGAAGTGAGCGCGAACGGAAGAACCAAAAATTGTGTTAGGAATATTAAAAAAAGTAATAAGCCGCAGGAATGACAAATCTATGCAAGAAACTGCAACTTATAAGCCGGAAAATATGGTACACACGTATGAGTCCTGGATCAAGAGATGAGCTCCCTCTGTGGCTCTGCTGAACCTCAGAGCCACCGCTCCTCTTCATCAAATGGAGTCGGCTGAAGGGGGATTTTCCAGGCAACATCCAGAGAGACCCAATAGAAGACCCAGAACTTGCTGGAGGGACTGGGAGCACCTTGGGAGGAGGAGATCGGGGGCCAGTAACAGTTATCATCTGAGTTATGAGAGTTGCTAAAAACTCGTTTCCAGCGGTTTATGTGAAGTTTTCACATAATTATTATAGTTTTATAAGTTTTTACCGTTAAATTCCTGAAGAATGGTTGAACGAAGAGCAGCGATTAGTGTTACATCGTTACCCTTCTTACCTGCACCTTCCTGTTTGTCAGGATTTGTGTTCCCAGTGTGTCTCCCCCTTGTGGTCTGCTCCAGCTACTTTTCTCCCGCACTGTCTTCCTCCTTCTCCCTAAACCCTTGCAGCTCCTGCCAAGGTTTCAGGTGACAACCATCCTGCCGCTCTCCTCCTTTCTTGTCCCACTCAGGGGAGGCTGGTGGTGGTGGAAGGAGGGGGCGCGAGCTGATAAAAGGGGATGAAGAGAGGCGCAGGCAGCTCCACTGGGAGGCTGGAAGGAAGAAACACAGTCAGAGGAATCCCCGTAAACAGGCCCAGACATGCCTGAGCCCCAGAAGACAGGTAAGGAGGTCCATTCTGACAGAATCTAAGCAGGAAGTCTGTTCAGAAGCTGCTGCTTCTCTGCAAATGTGCAGATGAGAAACAACGAGCCCTAAAAGCTGAAAAAGGAGCGAGACACGTGGGCTGGGTGTTTGAGGATATTTTATTTGGTTCAAAATGTTCGTGTTTTTTAGATTCAAGAGTGAAAGGTGACTGTTCAAATAAGTTCTAATCTCTTTATTCTTTGCTTCTAACCAATCAGACCTTCTGGTAATCTTTTAAAGTGGTCTAAACAAGTTGAGCAGGAAAGAAGCTAAAATCTAAAGTCCTTTACAGAAAAAGTCTTATCTTAAAGAGATAGGAATAAAATAGAGCAAAGACTTCTGCGTTTTTCATAGATCCACAGAAAAATGGGAACAGATTGTGACAAGATGCTGATAACAAAAAGCATAAAAATCCAAGTTAAAACTGATCTTTGCTGAGGTTGTCTGTTAAAACTGTTTATAAGTAAATGATTTATGTGTCACACTCAAATAAAATCATCTGAAAATGAGTGAAATAGAAGCCAGAGTTCACAGAATACTGACCAAGTCCACTTTAAAAGATTAAATCTGATTGATTGGAAACTATATATATACATATTAATAAAAAAAGATCTGATGGTTTTAAATCTTCAGCATATTTTAGATTTTATTTGCTCAATAAATAATTTATTCTAACAACGGCGAACGTCTGCAAAACCGTCATGTGTTTAACTTTTATTTCATGACATCAGTAATAAATCAAACAAAATGGGTCAAGATGACAAGAAGAAAATATTTAGAAATTCTTGAGAGGAGGACTTTATGGTTTTATGAAGGTAAACGTTTTGAGTGGAAATCCTCTGCGTGAAAAGTTGTGAGATTTAAAGAGTTCATTTTACGTCACAGGCCACATCATGCACAGGGAGATCATAAAACTGTAAACACAATTGTACAAATCGTTGTAAATACTGACTAACAAAAGAAAACCCTCACTCTGCACGGATGATGAGCTCCGATTGCACCATCAACCGCACATGCACGATGCAGGAATGCATAATCCTGGAATAAGTTCAGCAGCGTCTTTACTGAAACATTAACCGACCGCCGTCTGACATTAAACTCTGCAGCCCGTAATGTTTCTATCAATCATGCAGAATGAAAGATGCTCTGCTGCTTTTGTCAACAGCTGCCTCAGACAATCATAAATTATCTGATGGATTAAAACACGAGGATTAAAACCATGGAGCCGGGGAGGAAGACAGGCCTGAGGAGGCTGGGTCAGATGGTCCTCCAGGTCCTGCACGTTTTAGATCATATGTGTCAAACTCGAAACCCGGGAGCCAAATGGGGCCCTTGTTGACATCTTATCTGGCCCCCAAGATGTTATTTTAAATGTAAAATACTTTTATCACTTCATTTTTTTTTCAGTAATCTTTGATTATGATGTCAAGAGTGCAACAGAGAACGTCAAATGAGACCAATCCAACTCTTGTTGAGGAACCTTCAACCAAGAAAAGATGTTGACTTGAGTTCGTGTCGATTCTAAAACTGGCCCTTTTGTTTGAAAAAGGTTTTAATTTTGGCCCCGTTTTGTAAGCGAGTTTGACACCCCTGTTTTAGATGTTCCTCTGCTTCAACACACCTGATGGAAACACATGAACAGGCTTCTGCAGAACATGAAGACCTGCTGAGGAGCAGAGAAACCACTCAAACCTGATGGAGGACCACGAGCACGGACCCTAAAACTAACGTTTAAATGATAATTGTTGTAAATTAGTCAACTCTGCTGCCTTCCACGAGATCTGCCTGACTCTGTTCTCCCACCCTGACAATCTGCACGATTTATACTGAAAGAAAGTTCCCTTTTATTTTGAATCCAGCATCTTCTGCATGTTAAGTGTAAATGTCACAGAACCAAAGCAGGTGTTTTGCTGAAAATAAACCATCCATATTTAGAGCTGCACGTTGGCACCGCTGCGTGATAAAATACATCTGATTTGATCCGACACCCCCCCCCCCCACGAGCCTTTCCCTTTTTATTCTCCTATCAGACAGTAATTTCATCCCAACATTTTATTATCTCCCCCCCGCCCAGCGTGCTGACATCACACAGATTAGATTCCTAACAGCACATTATCAGGCTTCTCTTTTTCCTCCTCCTAAATTGTTGCCCCCGTCTTGAGCCTGATCACACCTTCTTAGCTTGGGGCCCCTCTGGCCCTGTCCGTCACCTGGTTACAGCTCATGTGACCCCCCCACCCTGCTCCAGAGACAGCAGCGTTTTGCAGTAAAAGCTGCCGGGGAACGGACAGAGCACGCATCCCAATAAACAGCCACAAGAATAGTTCCTGAGTGTGAGGAGGGACGGGGACGTGGATTTAAACCGAGGACTTGATCCTGGTTCACTTAATTTATTGGTCTTCAGACTAATAAAACTAATCTGGGTTATTTTGTTGCATCAAACTAAAACTGGACTTTCTGCGCGGAGAGAGTTGATGCTGGCAGGATGACTGATCACATCAGGGCCCCCTTCCAAACGCCCCTCGGTGGATTTTAGAACGGAGCTGAAGGCAAATTTCAACTCACGTTAAAATTTAAAACGGTTATTTTCTGAAGCGGGAGTTAGGTTTTTAAATGAACTCCGTTGGATGAAAATAATTCTGACCAGATAAATAAGGTGTGGCTCAGTGGTGGGAGCAGTTGTCTGCAGTCGGTCGCAGTTTGGCCCCCTGGCCTGAGGTCTTTACATGTTCTCTCCATAAGTTCCCTCCCACAGACCAAAAACATGCATGTTAGTTTGAATGGTAACTCTAAATTGTCCCTAGGTTTGTCTCTGTGTCCCTGTGATGGACTGGAGACCTGTCCAGGGTGATGGCTGGACATGGGCACCAGTGACCCCCGTGACTCTAAAAGGAAGAAGCGGATTAAAGATGATGGGGGGATGTTTCTGAAGGAGACAAAACAGAGAACTGTGACCCGACCCAGCTGTCTGAAGTTGGTCCAAGAGAACTTTTGGGGTAAAATGTGCGATAACATAAGTTCTTTGGTTCGGAGCATCTGAAATAAAACAAACATCTGAAGGCTGAAAGAAAATCTGTCAAACGCTTAAAACATGAATGAAAAGCAATGATGAAAATAAAATATTCTACTCCAAATTTCTGATTTTATTAAAAAAAAAAAAAAAAATTAAAAAATCTGCTCAGACGGGTCCAACCTTCAGAACATGTGGAGTTCTTGTAAAGAAATGAAGATCTGCACTTCGGCTCAAGTCTCAAACACCCAAAAGTTTTAATTGTCTGGTAAAACATCCTGACTTGAGACTCAAGTCACTACATGATACGGTTTTGAAAAAAAAAGCTCAAATCATAAAGTTTATCAACGTTTTTTTTTTTTAATTAAGTTGAACTCTGTCGTGATAAAAGATCTTTCCAAAATGGCTGACGCATTGTGACATGTCCATCGGATAAATTTAGATTTCTCGCAGCAGCCTGAAGAATTCAGAGCATCAGAAGTCCATCTATTTGCTTTCTGCAGAGCAGCACTGTTGAGTGAAAGGTTAAACCGCTCATTTAGGCTGCGGGGAGGAAGGAAGCTGACATCACTCCCCCCTGACACCCCATTAGACCCCAAAACTGCCTGTATTACAACCGGCTGAGTGTAGCGTTACCTCATGCCGAGGCCTTCATCAGGTTCCTGCAGACACCCGCTGCGTGATGGATTACAGACAGATGCAGCTCAGGCTGCACAAAGAAAACAACGTTATCCAACAGATTATTAAAAACACTTCATAAATACGGGCTGAGCGTTGAGCTGCGATTACACGCCCAGAAGAACTTTCTCTGACGGCTGAGTCTCTCATCGTTTTCTTAGCCGGCAAATAAACTTATTTCCATAACGCTCATTTGAGTCCAATTGTCAGAGGAGTTTACAGCAGCACGATAAAATCTAACCTTCAGTTTCTTTATTCAGCCTCGTCGATGGACTCTGTCCTCCCTTCTCGTAAAAACATCAATCTTCATCTCGAACGAGCCCGAAGGAAGAAAGACGCTTCAAAATAAGCTGCAAACAAACACTGAATTCGCTGCACGACTGTAGCTAAAATGCACAAGGCTGAAGCTAAAAGCAAAAAAGTTACTAAAATGTAACTGTAGCAAAACAGCTAAAATTTAAAATAAGCCAATCAGCAGCTGACGGCTAAAATGAACAAACTATAACTAAAAGCGAACGTTAGTAATATAATAGCTGAAAGCTAAATGAAGGAAAGCATGAAAATAAAATACATGAGGGAAGCTGTAGTTGAAGTTACAATTGGTAAAACTTGAGCTAAAATCTAAAAGTAGCAAACAGTAGCTAAAATCAACCAAAAAAAAAAAGTCACTAAAAGCAATTTCTAGCAAAAATGTGAAAACGCAGCGTAAACGCTAAGAGCGATGGACTGCAGAAACCTACTCAAAAAGCCAAAACGAAACGGTTAGACAAGCATAACAGATGCAAAAATTACACAACAGTAGCTATAGCTAAAAGCTAAAATGAGCTAAATGCTTAAATAGGCAAAAATGTTGCTAAAAGCACAATGCAGCACAATTGTAGCTAAGACAGAAGCTAAAAGCTAAATGTTACCCAAATCTAATTGTAGCAAATCTGTAGCTAACAGCTAAACTAAGCAAATCAGCCGCTAATAGCTAAAATGAACAAACTAAGGAAAAACAACAAAAATTGGCAATACAGTAACTAAAAGCTAAATGTAGAAAACCCTAAACAAAACATAAAATTAGCTAAAATACTAAAATCTAAAAAATAAATAAAAACGAGGAAAACTGCAATTAAAGCGAAAACTGGTTAAATGTCAGCTAAAAGTATAGCAAAACTGTAACTATGAGCTAAAATGAGACTAACAGTTGATAGCTTTAGTAATTAAAAAACTTTGGCTATTTACAAACTAAAAGCTAAGTGTAGCAAAAAACCCTGCAAAAACATAACTGAGACAAATGCGTAGAT